CCCCCCCCCCCCCCCCCCCCATGCCGAGGACCTGAGGCAGGTGGTCCAGCGATCAGAGCCTACAGTAAAATAGTGGCAGGATCGCAGCTCCAGAGCTGAGAGGGACCTGAGGGGCAGCTTGGTCTACCTCCCTCATTTGACAAAGGAGGAGACTGAGGCCCAGAGAGGCGAGCGATTCATCTGTGACCCCATGGCCGGCAGGGAAGGGGCTCAGGGGGTCCCGGGACCCCAACGGGGATCAGGGCTCTGGGCTCTTGCTGCCCCGCCCCCTCCACCTGCCAACGTGGTGTCTGCCTCCCCCGCCCCCCGTCCCCGCTCCCGCCAGCGCCCCGCCCGCTCTTTCTCACTTCCCCAGCGGCGGCGCATATATTTGCATATCTTACCTTTGTTCCCGGGCAGCGACCAATCAGCGCGCGCGGCCCGGCCGGGGCGGGGCCTCGGGCACTGCGGCGGCCGCGGCGGAGGCTAGAGCCGGGCGAGCGGGGCTGGAGCGGGCGAGGCAGGGCTGCGCTGCGGGAGGCCGAGGTGTGGGCGGGGGGCGACCGTGCGCTGCAGCCTGCGGCTGGCGGACGGACTTACTGACCGACGGACCGACGGCTTGCCGCTACTCGGCCCCCGCTTCCTACAGCCAAGCCCGGGAGGGCGGAGGAGGGGGCGCGGCCGCCCGTGCCCGTGCCCGTGCCCGGGGGGTGCCCGGCCGCCCCTCAGCGCTCGCCCCTGGCCTCGCTCCCTGACCGCCCCCCCAAGATGGTGTGCGGCGGCTTCGCCTGCTCCAGGAGCTGCCTGTGCGCCCTCAACCTGCTCTACACGGTGAGTGAGCAGCCCCGGGCACGGGCACGGGCACGGGCACCTGCCTCCGCCCGCTGCCCGGCGCGGCCTCCCACCTGTGCCCCCAGCCCTCCCGGTCCCTCTCCTGGAAGCCTCCTTCCCTCGCCCTCAGCCTCCTGGCTGGCTTCCGGGCACCCCCCCCCCCACCTTGGCATCTCTTTGGAGAGCCCCTGCCTGGGGCGGCCTCGGCCTCCCCTCCCCGCCCTCCGACACCCCGTTGTCCTCCGGGTCCCCGCATCCCCGGCGCCCGGGCCGCGCTCACGCTCGCCTGCTCGATTGGGACGAGGGTGGCCTTGGAGGGCAGCCTGGGTCGGGGCGTCCTGGTGCCAGAGCAGCCTGGGTCTGGGGCCCAGCGGGTAATTAACAGCCACACCGATGGCCCGCGGCTTCCTCGTAGGCCACCGGGCAGATTTACACCAGGATGTCTGTGGTGGCTTCCGAAGTTCCTCCGGTTTTGTCCTAAACAATTGTCTCCCCAGGGAGGCTGCTTGATGGCTTTCCCAGCGCTTGCTAGCGGAAAGCAGCGCTCCATTTTAAGCCGGGTATTCTCCCGTCACGTCCCCACCCAAGTGAGCTTCCAGATGATAATAATGATCATTTTTATATTCAGGGGTTGGCACCAAGTTCTTCACCCAGAGTTGAAACGCTCTCAAGGCAAAGCGACCCTTGGATTTTTGTCCTGGTAGCCTCACAATTGCCCGGCAGGGTTTCCAGCACGCAGGGGTGCTGAAGGGATGCTAAGAAGGGTCTTTGGAAGCATCTAATGTCTCTTTGGTTGAATTGAATTGGATTCCATCGAAGTGGCGGGAGGGTGAGTTGGGGTGGGGGAGGGGGGCACTGGAGGAAGAAGCTGATGAGGCAGGATACAAAAAACAATGCTCCCGGTTCTTGGGACTATGCCCCCGCCCTCTTCATTGTCCAGCCCCAGATCCACCTCTTACCTTGTCCTTTCTCCCACCCTGCAAACATCCCCAGGAGGCTGCGAGTTAAGAAGGAACCAGGCCAGCTGTGGCTAGCTTATGTTACAGGCCTTGGAACCCAAAGTTAGCCCTGTCTTCTCAGCCCTGTAAGAGCTCGGATCATTTTACAGGGATTGTTGTGTGTTCTCACTTGTACACGACCATGTCTGAGATCTGAGGGCAAGCAAGGGTTTAGACGAACCTCTCTGTCTACTGCAAAGCACCATTGGCTTGTTTACTGATCCCAAAGGAAGAACACAGCAGAGAGACCCCCCCCCCAACCACCAGCTGGGTGAATTCTGGTCTTGTGATTCAGCAGATGTTTGTTAAATTCCTACTGTGTGCCAGGCCCAGCGTGCCTGGATCAGACCAGCATAATTAGAGACCTGTGCCACGCGTGGTTTTTGTTTTTCCAAATCCACCTTTGTCTTCTTTAGTGCGGCTGATCAGGTTAATTGGTTATTGAGTCAGGACTAACCAGCTCACCTGGGAGCTCTGTTAGTGACCTGGATATGTTGTCCTGGGCTGTTTCCACACTAGCTTCCTGGAGCTCTGAGTTCAAATCCTTTCTCTGATCCAAGCCGTCCTGTCATGTGCTCCTTGGCATGTGACTTCATGGCCCAGCCTGTTTCCTTAGGGCCCTAGAATGGTCACCTGTGTGGTTTGCTGCCTGCCAGTCCTGGGAAGTGAGATCCAGGAACTTATTTTTTTAAAACGGAACTAGGAGTTTGAGATTGCTTCTGGCAACCCCCAGGACAGGTGCCTTCAGCTGGATGGGAAGGGAAAGGGGACAGGAGGAAAGGCAGTATTTGAATGAGCCAGACTAGGGCAGAAGACAGTAAGAGTTCGTTCATTTGAAATTCCATTGATGTTGAAAGGACAGTGACTTGGTTTGGATCTCAAGGCTTCCAGTGGAGTCGTGAGGCACAGTGGAAAGAAAGGGTGGGGTGGGAGTCTGAGGACCTGAGTTCAAATTCTGGTCTTGCCAGTTAACTGCCTATGGAACCTTAGCCTAAGTTTTCCTTATCTGTAAAATGAGACTGGACCTAGTGACATCTAGGGTCCCTCCCAATTCTCAACCTGTGATGCTATGAATTGTAAAATGAAACAGGTAGACCCTTCAGTCTAGTCCATTGAACACTGATCATGTGTCTGTGCTAGGTACTGGGGACACACAGACAAGAAATAACCCCCCACAAACATCCCTGTCCTCAAGGATAGAACTTCTTAATATAAGTACATAAAATATCATTTAATTACTTGACCAGGTAATCATAGAATAATCAAACTGGAAGGGATCTCAGTGAGCAGCCCATCTAGGCATTTTTAAACTGTGGTCTTCAAACAGAATTCTGAGAAAGGGTCTAGAGTTCAGTAAGTAGACTCCCAAAGGATTCAACTACATGAAGAGGTTAAGAACCCTTGTTCTCTCCCAGCCCCCATTCCCAGAAGAATCCCCTCTTTGCTGCACATGCCAAATGCATATCCAGCCTCTTCTTGGACACCTGCATGAAGGGGTGCCCGCTATGTCTGGAGAAGCCCATGTCATGTTGGGGTGACCAATGGCCCAGAAGCTTCCCTTGACCCCAAGTCTAAATTTTCCTCCTGCTCGGCTCTCTCCTGCCCCTTTACATTCATATTCTCCAATAATCTAGTATTTTCTGAGCTTATTCCAAGGGTATTGCCTCTCCCCTAGTCCCATTTAACCAAATTTAATAGGATGGGTCATGGAGTGCCAGTGAGCCAGACCAGATCTGGGATTGGCTTGAATGGTGTGTCATTTCATATTATCACAGATCTGAGGTTGTTATTTATTTAGACTGGCATTGCTGGTGGGGGTGGGAAAGGACTGGCTCGATATTTTAAGGTGAACATTGATAAAAAATCAGAATGGACAGGCAGTTGGTGTTGTGGAGGGGGGAGGAGAGGAGTGAGTTTTGTCCGTGAGGACAAGTGCATTATTTGTATTTGGGCTTACTATATCCCCAGTGCTCTGGAAAGTCACCTCCTAAAATGAATGTCCAGCTGCCATTGTGGGCCTATGGGTCTGATCCTGTTTCTTTTTTAATCCATTCATCCCAGCTTCCTTGGAATTGGATATGCCAGGGCAGACATGGCACATACACACACACACACACACACACGCACACTCGAGCACACGCACAGGTTAAGTCTTGCCAAGCACTTTACATAGAATTGTACATCTAGACTTCGAAGGGCCCTTAGAAGCAGCTGGTCTAGTCCTAATTCTACAGATGACAAAATTGAAACCCATAAGGATTTCATGACTTACCCAAGGTCACGTCGTGATGATATTGGATCCTCACAGCAACCCTGTGAGTAGCATTATTATTAATAGCCTCATTTTACAAGTGAGGAAAGGGAAGCTTAGAAAGGCTCAGTGACTTGCCCAGGGTCACACAGTTAGTATCTGATCATAGTCAGGATTTGAACCCAGGCTTTCCTGACTCCTGAGGTCACCACTGTTTCACCACTCCAGCTTGCCTCTTAGAAGTGAGTCAGAGAAAACCTGGGTCCCTGGGGTCAGGACAGTGTGAACTTTCTGCTGACAAGTTTTCACTTCATTCAGAATCGATGACGTCAGTCCTGGAAGATCACAAGAGCCTCGGGGAGAAGGTTTTCCCTCACCCTGCAGAATGGGCTTGATCCAGGAGGAAGCCAGGCAAGGGTCAGAATCCTTCATTAAGGCAGCTCTGGGCGTGCCTCCTCCTTTGTAGTTGCCTGCAGCCTTCCCGGAAGTAGGCAGAAGGATTGTAGGGAGTGGGGGAGGAGGGATCTTTAATCCCTTCATCCACCTTCTGGACCAGAAACTGACACAGAGATTCCTTTTATGTGCTTCTGGGCATCGACAAAAAAAACAGAGTTTGAGGATAGAACTAGAAACTGAGGCCCGAGCTGGAGACAAGATTGCCGATAACACTTTTGGACAAGTGTAGGTAGTTCAGATGTTTACTGAGGCATTGTGGGCCACTGGAAAGTCTAAGAGGAGGCAAAACCAAAAATCAGCCCTTGGAAAGCCGGTGGGCATCCCTGCATTAGATTCTCTTGAGAGTGAGGAAGTGTCCTGCAAGTCACCTGGCCCTATGTCCTTGCTTTATAGAGGAGGAAACATAAGAAAGAACCAGTGGCGTTCCCAAGGTTGCTCAGCTATGTAGTAAATAGCAGAGCTGAGATTTGAACTCTGGTCCTTTGGCTTTGAATTTTCTGCTCTTGTCCCTGCTCCTGTTTGGCCAGTGAGCCTCGGTTCTGGGAGGGCTCAAGTGTATCTGTAAGGTATTTCCAACTGCTTTAGAAATTCCATTCAGTTAACATTGTGTGCCAGGCACTTTGTAGGATACTGGGATTAAGCCTGGAGCAACTGATTTGCAATATTTCTCAACCCAAACCAAGAGTTTTGAATTCAAATCTGCTCTCTTTAAAGCACAAAGCTATGAGAGGAAATGCCCTCAGCCCTGAGGTCCCTGAACCTGCTTGGCTAGGTTCTCTCTGGGCCATCATCCACACGGTAACGGAGCTGGTGGGAATGGGCATCGTCCTGAGATGCAACATTGGCTTCTCAAAGAGTGTTCTAAACATGAGCTTGAATTTCTAGATTGGTAAACAATAACAGGTTGAGGGTGGAATTTCAGAAACAGCACACCTCATGGGATGAGGAGAGGCTCCAGTCCAAGGAACCACATCGGAACTCTTCCTTCTTCACTTTTCCCTTTATCATTTATAAGTTCCGCTCTGGGAAGCTTTTGAGAAAATAGAAGGTCCGAGGTTAGAAGGACTATGGTCAGATCAAGGCACTGTAGCTGAGACCTGGCTGAGCAATAAAGAGTTTGATTATCTGTCATTACCCACCCACCCCCCACCAAGATATGTGGAGAGATTATTTTTAGAGGGGTAATTTTTGCAGGAAATGTCATGCCCTGATAAGGATATTCATGAGATAAACTGAGGCAGAGAGAATTTTTAAAGTGTCAGATGGTGTGTGGTCAAAGTCCAAGGTAGAGAAAT